GACACGCCGTTGCTTTTTCGCCCGAAAGGCCTCCATCGCTGTAAGTCTTGACAGTTGTGGTGATTCTTGTTATACCTATAACCAGTCCAAATCGCCGCTTCGCGGCGCTTTGGACTGGCTGTGTGTGTGAAGTGGGTTGTGGCTAAAAGTTACAACTTTCAAAAATTTGTAGCGAAAAGTATGGCACAGATCTGAAAACGTAACAACCCCCGAAATTACCAAATTCGTGGATCTTTCCTGCTTTCGAATTTCGAGGATTTTAGGAGGCAGCATAATTATGATTGCTCCCTCCAAGCTTTTGCTAGCCGTGCTCCTCCATTTGCTTCATACATACGTTGTACAGCGTTTTGCTATCCGGGCACATGGAGAATCCCCTCCCCCCTCCTACCCTCAACTCCTTTTCACTCAGAAGCAAGTGCGTTCCATACCCGACAAAGTTTTATCAGCCACATGCACTCTTTCTATCCGGGTCCCTGCTTCCACACTGACTGATTTCGGGTGGAGGACATTAGGTCGCCGAATTTGGAAGAGTCCCGCGCGGATTCCCTGCAGGAACGCATGTCCGCGTATGTGCAAGGGTGCGTATTTGTCGCAAATGACCGCGGGGACCGCCCTCTTTCGGCGACCTAATGTCCTCCACCCACTGATTTCCCAAGCTGTCTTAGAACCCTCCCCTCCCCCCCCCCCCCAAAAAAAATGTTATTGCTCAAAGTACTTTTATCTCTTTCTGAGATTGAAATAGCGAAAAAATTCGAATTCATCCTTGAAAAATTATAGCCAAACAACAAAAACATCTAAACCAAATCTAGAGCTCTTCAAATTCATACACTCCCTCTTGCTTTTCACAAAGTAGTTTTTTGGAAGCGTCACAATTCCTCTTTCACTTCAAAAAAAATTTATGACAAATCTTTCAATCACGTTTCATGAGGGCTTTCAAACTGTCCAGCATCCTTGCAATTCTTCATCCATAGGTGTTCCGAAATCCATCAATTTTCAGTTTATCTTATTGTTGGGAAGCTACTGATCCAAATTCTTGAGAGGACCTACTCAAAAAGTTATCTTTAGCAAATCTCCGCTCTTATACAAATTTGAGGTTATTCACATTTGTAGAGCATACGACGCCTAAAAAGTTGTGATTCTAGCTAGATTGTCTAGAGCTTCTTCATTAGCAGAAATCTTTGAGCAGAAAATTTTTTATACATCAACTGTAGGGAAAATACAAAGTCAGTACAAAAGCATATAAGATTTTTGAAGAGCGCGAATTTTGGCCATTTGAGGCTCGCAGTGATATGATAGTCTAAAATGCACTTTTTGACGCGTTTTGAGTAGTGGACATCTGCAGAATAAATGATGTTTGTAAATACCTTTTGATTGGCATGATTGTCTCACGGATACTAAACATCTGATTTAAGAATTTGTATCAATCACTGATCTCTTGCACAGATTCAACAATGTTTTTTAAAGAAATCTTGTGTCGCGCTGTCCAAAGTGTTGCACAATCAAAACTATGCTCAAATTGCTAAAAACACAGAATAAAGTTGCTTTCGAGAGTAAATCAGCATAGCATTTGTGTGAAGTAAAGCACTCCAGTTTTGAAAGACTGCTGAATTACCTGACAATTTTTTTTGACATAAACATTTCAAAGGAAGTGCTCATTCATATAAATAACTAGTTGGCAAACCCGGCTCCGCCCGGGTCTGTCAATAATATGTTTGTAATCAGCATGCTCGATTACCCCCCTGTGCCAACTCCCAGCCCTGTAGCTCAAATTTTGCAAAAAAATCGATAAAATCGATATCGATCGATAACGAAAGGTAGCCTATGACACGCCCCCTGCCGCGAAGTATATGTGTGCCAAGTTTGGTCCAAATCGGTTCAGAAATAAAAATTTTTATTCCGCACATACGTACAGACAGACATACAGACAGACAGACATTCAGCTTTATATATAAGATAGGTACAGATTGTCCGAGGAAAGTAGAAGTATCTGCGAGAAATTTGCAGAAACAGATCTAGTGCAGTTTGTTTGAGGTAAAAACATTTGCCAAGCATTTCATGAAAGAATCCGAGAAATTCAAGACTTCTTGCTGAGATATGTTAGCAGAAAAATCAGAAGGCAGGATATATCCATTGAAAAAGATTTGGTGCAAGTTTTGGGGTGAGGAAACACATAACGCATTCGAGAAATGAATACGGGGGGCGGCACTGTATTGCTGAAATATTTGACATTTTTGAAAAATTATGGTGCACTCCAAATGAACGCTCTAGAGTAGAAAGGAGAATCTTGAAATTTAAAAGAAAAACAAAATAATTTTTCTAAAAACGATATCGGCTGCACTTGTTAGAACAGAAGAATGCTGATCATATGTTGAAGGTTTTAAAGGCGTCCACCCAAAATGGAGCTTGGCGAGATTATGATGGCATACTAGTGTGGGCCCCCATACTGGACAAACCTCCAAGCTTCGCCGCAAAAGACTGCTTTTAAAGCGAGAAATCCGCTTCGGAAGTAACAAAGTGTGCGGGGCGCCCCCGGCGGTCCACCCAACTCGAATTCAATGTTTTTGTCACCTTCAGGCCTTCTGAAAGCCCTGATTCCGAATATGGAGTCGAAAATTCGCGAAACCCCCAAAAATCCCTGTTTCGAGAACCCTCTGAAACAAGTGCAGGCGAGATAAAGCATGCAAGTGGGCGGGGCGACCGGGGGCGCCCGCCCACTTTTGTTACTTCCGGAGCGGATTTCTCGCTTCAGAAGCAGTCTTTTGCGGCGAAGCTTGGGGGTTTGTCTAGTATGGGAGCCCACACTAGTATGCCATCATAATCTCGCCAACCTCCATTTTGGATGGACGGTGCATTATTGTTCTTCCAAGTTTATTAAGTAACGAAAGAATTTGCAATTTTTGTATTAGGTTGTTGCATAAGTTTTGTCCGATTTGAATTTTTTCAGTTCAAAATGTCATAACTTCTTTCAGAGTCAAATTTTTTTCAAAGTCTTAGTTTCTGTGTGTTGAGCAGTTCATTGGCTATCAGATGCATATCAAGGCCTGCGAAAATCCTTGTTAAAGAAGAAGCAAGAACTCAAAAACTTTGCAGCGTTTTTCTTCAAACCTTTCTTATTTGACATGGCAGTACTCCCTTATGAGAATTGATAGGCATCTTGTCTAACAACGGATAAATAGACAATTTTTCGTAGATTATTTTGCACCATAAAAAAGCCCATAGGGTCTACGTTTCCGAGAGATTTTTTGACCGAACAAAAAATTGGCCACTTTTTGACCCCACTTCAGCGCATGTGTGCATGCCTATTTACAAATTATGAGAGTTTTACAGTTGCCGTAAGTGCCGAAAAAAATTGATGAATGTTCTCTGCTAGCCCTTGCTTTACGCTACACCTCCAACTTTGAAGTCGTCGATTACTTCTATTCACAGAGAGTTATAGCTTGTAATACATCTATACAGAAAATTAATGTTTGACAATAAATTTTACTAGCAAGACGTTTTCTTCATGAAACTGAACTTATGCGTATGCTAGCATACTACACCCTTATTCCGCTACCAATTAAAAAACTTGATCTGAAGGGCGCATTGTGGAGATTTCCTTGCAGGAACATATTTCTAGGGTGAGAACGTACCTCGGCCGCTTGGAGATTTTAGGCCTGAAATCTCCTTACGCTAAGAAATTTATTGAATTTTGATACGCTTTAGAAAGCGCAAGAAAAGCACTTTCGAATGATACTAACAATACCGCATTAGAGATGAAATTCTCTTAGAACAGCTGCCTCAAACACAAGGCAAAAAAAATTGGACAGAACTTATGCAACAACCTAATAGTAATGTTGAAGGAATATGGAAGTTTAAGGAAAATTGTAAACTACCTGTTCCAATTCAATCGAGTTCGGGTCGTTCTTGTAAAGCGATTCGTACTATACGAAAGAGTTAGCTTGTTTAGTGATTATAATTTTTTGGTTATGCCAATTGATCAACATTATCTAAGACAGACATCACTGCCGCTATGAGTCATCAGCTCGGTACGCTCGCACCGGCACAAAACGATGGACGGTTGTTTACATCTCTGGCGCGCGATGACCTCAGATGGGGGTGCTTGCGCTTTATATATAGTATGATGTCGGACGCGGACAATTTGTCGCCAAAATAGTGAGTATTTCTCTTTATGATTCACCTTTTTGTTTGCTAAAAGTGTGGTTTCTCTCTGCAAAATTTTTAGCGTTTTCGGCTATCCAGATCAGACGTGGCGTGGATTTGCTCAAGCTTTGTTTATTGGATATATCAGCATATACTAGCCAACAAATGATTGTATATACGCACTTTTTTCTTCTGCAGAAGCCTTGCTTCGATTACAATGATTCGGGCAACCGAATGGCGTCGTTTTTTACTATTTTTACAATGATGTACAAAAGGTTCTATTTGTAACACCGAAGCCTTCAAACACTTCTTCACAATCAGCGCCACAACAGTCTAAGGAAATCGATGTAGCTATGATTATACCTTACTTATCTAAATGGTGTTTATATGGTATTGGCACTTCAGAAGACGAACTGAAGAGTGGCAGACCTCGAAGGAGAGAAGATCTTTCGGTGAAAATTGTGTTCTGTCAATTATGAGGAGGTTAAGGGAGAAGATGTTTGGCGGATGCAAAACCATATAATTTTGCATGTGCTTGATTTCTTTTGCTTTGTAGGCGCTTAGCTTTGAACTAATTGACTAAGCAGGCGTTTCGATTCGTTTAAGTGTTTGCCTGATAAGTCACAGAATATACATCGTAATCGCTTCTAATTGAAAGAGATATGTCCTGCTGCACTTATCAGACTTAATACATACTTGGACTGTTGTCAAGCAAGCTACTCGACGTTTTAACACCACTGGCCACGATTATGAACTCACCCTGAATAAAAGCACGCAAGTAAGTTGTATTCAGCAACATTCCAATTTTTAATGCATTTTTCTAGACTATCACCTTCACGAGTTGATGTTGTAAAACCGCTATGCCCACTTCACATTTCTCCATTATCAATAACAGTGGTGAAGGTGTAGACGTATCAGCTGTGATTGATGAAATCAAGTCTGTAAATAAGGCAGTTTGCTTCTGTTATTCTGTTTTTTTTTTTCAGTATTCTTAGTTTTAAGTTCGTAGCAAGTCAAGATCGTGAGTGTGTGAAACGAGATTTAGATTTGATTGATCATTCTGGTGTCGTTATGCAATTGACACTATGGAACAAAGCAGCTGAGGATTTTCACGAAGATGTATTTGGTCAAACTTTTATCAAAAAGGCATTAGTGAAGAAGTGGAATGATTAGTTTTTGTGCCACAAAATTGTTGGCCGCGGAAAACGATTTGTTTTAGGGACTTACAGTCCGGCACTAATTTCTACATAATAAAAAGCTGTTTGAGTAAACGATCCACTTATGCATAAAGACCTCGTAGAGAAAAGGAAATTGAAAAAACCCAGCTTGAATTAACTGATTAATCATAGAAGTTCTAACCAGTTTGACTCCGTTGGTGGACTGATATAGCTGCGGCTCAAGCAACTGTGCAACAGGCGTGATATAAAACAAAGTCAGCAAAACTACACCTGAGAAGAGAGGCGGAGTCAAGAACATAATGAGATAGTCGCTTTAGTAAGATGTGTCGGAGGACTGTCGGAGGAGGAATACATCCAAAAGGTAAAGATTATACAACTTTGACGTAGATAGAAATGTGAAATCGGGTAGCAAACTTTGAAAACGATCAATATAAAAACCTGCTGCGCAATTATCTGCAAATGTTAGTCGGTGAAGGCCGTATTTACAACAAGACGACAATATTACTCTTACATCCTCAGACAATCGACGGGACCCCTCCGCCGGACCCTCGGAAACTGCCAGAGTCGCGCCGGACCCAGTTGACCAATGAGAGAAGGGCAAATGGGCGGTCCATCGCGGTGGCATCACTGGCAGGCAAATGGGAGGCTTCTCCGGCCCTGCTGCAAAGGTCCGCCATTTCTCCGGCGCGACTCTGCCAGATTTGACGGACTCCGCGCCGCAGAAATCTGCGCGGCGCGTGTCCGCCAAATTTGGAAGAGCCGCGCCGGAGAAAATGGGAGGGGTCCGGAGCAGAAATGAGAGGCCTCCGGAGCAGAAAATGGGAGGTATCCGGAGCAGAAAATGGGAGGTATCCGGAGCAGGAGATGGGAGGTATCCGCCGGAGAAATGGGAGGTATCCGCCGGAGAAATGGGAGGTATCCGGAGCAGGCTGCGTATCGATTTGGCGCGTAGCAAGCAAACGTCTAACTCCACAGTGATGAGTCCTCTGTTTACGCTCTTTGTCCATATTTTAGTCGCCGTTTCTTTGATTCTGTTGTTTTTGCGCGTTTCTTTACCGTTTTTTCCTTTTCCGCGTTGCTCTTCGTCGCGTTGGCGTTTATGTTGCTGTAAGTTCCTCGTTTTCAGGTTTATGTTTGAAATTTTCGTGCGGTTGCACTCAATCACCTTCAGTGTTTGGCTCTTTCCGACTTGCTGAGACATCGTAGACTATTGATGGAGTGGTTTTTGTGATTAATTCTGGATTTTCGAAACAATGAGGTTAGTTGCGCAACTATCTAGTGTTGTTGTGATGAAAGTATCGTCTAAATAATCCGTTTATTGCTATAGTGTGGACCCCGGCCAGGTTCCCATAGGTACCTCCGCGGCGCGCCCGCAGCGCATGCCTGCTTGCTTTGCAGTGCGTGCTTTCGCTAGATCTGCTCTTGCCTGGACAATAGAGCAAGATTAAGTTGTCTGATATACATGCTTTTGAAACTATGGCGGGTCACAGGATTAATTATCACCGTTTTAGAATCCCTGCAGCTGAAGAATTGGGCGCACCTAAAGTTGAGCTTCATCATAATTTAGAGAAGGGTCCAATGCAGCACAAGTTGTCACACATGCACTGGAGTGCAGACAAGAGAAGTCAAATGAGAAGTAACATTGAAAGTGTAAGTACCTATGGGGTGCAAATCGTCAAAAAAGTTCCACCATCAGAAATTCTCATCATCACTGCATACGTCAATCTCCTCGTAAACGCCGATACCGAACAATCAATAGATTCACTCAAAAAGATCTACAAATTGGTAGGTCGCGCATCCACGATTAGCCTATGAACTTTATTCTTTTAGCTGTCCGACGAGAATTAGCCGAATCAGGAGTAAAACCTCTGTCTACCGAAGCAGAGGTTTACACTGCAAGTCCACAATTAAACTCATACAGCTGATCTTATAATGCATTACAAGCACCGTAAAAAAATGAAGCACGCGCGACGAATAAGGAGCAACGTTAATTTGTACATCTTTCTACACAATGCACATTATTATTACACTCTGAGTTTATTCCCATAGAAGTTAAACCGATTGCTGTGCAGTGTATGTATGTTAGAAAAGAAACGTGGTCATGCCACTTTGAAGTAGCTTTGACTAGCTCTTCATCTAGCCAAAGCAACTTGGCATGGCATACCACGTATCCAAAAGAAAAGGAAATTATCATGTTATTCTAATATTCACCTCAGATCACTACATAAAAATGAATTTTTCGTAAATATAGTATCAGCGCCAAATACGACAGATTTTTTCGAATACGGAAGAGTCAGCAATGAATCACAGCACTATATACTAAATAAAATACGGTCATTATTGGATAAGCCAAGCTGAATAAGATACAATGCGTTCAGTTTCGATTTTTTAACGAACTAGTAAGGCGAATGATGCTGCTCTCAATGATGTAGGTCAACAACAGTGAACCCCGAAAAACGATGTGTCATGACAAATTGACCTTGCAATAACTGCCTTGAGAAAGCAACCAGGCATTGCTGACCTCGGGATAAAGACAAGTAATAAAGCAAAACGATGAAGGAAGTCAACTGATAGAAATCATCCAAATTCAACGCAGATCAAGCCTACACTGCACCTCATTAAAAGAAGCTTGAAAGAAAAGGATGTGGAGCAAAGATACAAACTAACGAACGAAACAGGAGTAAAAAGAGAGTCAAAAGGTGTACCGCTTCCTAAACTAAAGACAACTCACCAAGAGTAAACTTTTCAAACTAAAGAAGGAAACCCATGAAGAGCAAAACATGAGGAGACCAAATCATGTTCAAGCAATAGTTAAACATTGGTACTTACCTGATTTAGCACGCAGCTCGCACAAAAAGGTCGCTGTAGGAAGATACAACATAGTAATTTAGAAGACTTGTAAATTGACCATTGCAACAGCTCATGTAGTCCGAACGACGTCAGCGCTGGGTACCACCGCGCACCAAGAATATGCAATCTACGATTGGAAATACTAGGTAAAAACCATCCTGGAGGCAAGAAGAAAGGCAAAAATAAAGACCTTAAGAAAGTGACAGAAAAGAACGGATAAGTAATCGACGTAATATATGGAACAGAGAGGATTCCCCACGAAATCCGAGTTGCGATGAGCAAGGTCCAGGCGAACTGTGCAAGCGTCATGCGATCCCGCGCAGCTGGTAATCAGCTCTGAATGTGAAAAGATGAGAACCACCTGTCCAAAATCCAGCTTTGGGTTACTTTGCTGTTGTAGAGCGATTGCACAGAGGTTTGAATGACCTGTAATAGTAGACTGAGAAACAACAAAAGCACATTTGACAAAAAGTGAAAGGACTAATGAGAACAAAAGATGTAAATACGAATACCTAAAAGCATGGATGCAAAAATCAAGAAAATGGTGACGGAACTCAACCCACCCTGATGGACCTTTGTTTTATGACTTCTAACAAATAAGCCATCTCACTGAGCTAGCACAACCTTGAATACCTTAGCTCATTCCCACACGAAAATGCAGTTGAGGTGCAGTATTACTTGGATAGTCCGGAGTCAGCTCGATTATAAATAGTAGCCCATAGTGACAACACTATCTCCATAGATGATAAGGGTTGAAGCGTAGATGGGCGGCCAACAAAGAACTGAAATAAACAAGAATAAGTGGGAGAGTCATCGGCGAAACAAAAATACCATAAAAACCATAAGGTAAAAGCATCTGTGCGTCGCTTGGCCTCAAAAAGTAATGCCAACAATTGGGAGAACGAACCATATGCAGACTGAATGGAGGCAGAAAATTAGGATCTGGGGTTATTAACGCGACAATCCTGCAAATCTGACTGTGATGATTTTTTTTTAACCTTGCATTATTCCCATACGGGGTCTGCTACTCTTATTAGTCTCCTCCATGTTTCACGGTCTAATGCTTGACGTTCCAATCGTTCATCTATTCCAAGCTCTCTCAGATCTGACTTGACTTTGTCTGTCCATCGCAACTTAGGCCTTCCTCTTGGTCGTCTGCCGGGAACCTCTACTGACATCGCTAGTCTGGTGATGTGTTCTTCCTCTCGCCTTCTGACATGGCCATACCATCTAAGCCTCCTTTCTTGCACTTTCTTGATTATTGGGGCCACTTTCATCGTTGCGCGAATGGTATCATTAGTGACGTGGTCGAGCAGCGTGACACCCATCGTCCATCGGAGCATGCGGGTTTCCATCACTCCAAGCCTTCGTTCATCCTTGCATGTGCACGGCCAACACTCGCTTCCATACAGCGCAGTTGGGCGGATGACAGTGCGGTACATCTGAGATTTCAGCTTAAGCGGCATCCTTTTATCGCATAGCACTCCTGTGAGACTTCTCCATTTCAGCCATGCTGCGTTCATACGACTGGTTATTTCGTCTTCGAGCGTGCCGTCTGCCGCGTTGCGACTTCCTAGGTATTTGAAGGACGTGGTCTTCTTGATCTGCGTGCCTGCAATCTGGATCGTCTCTGGCGTTTGAAGTCCCAGCTTCATGTATTCTGTCTTGGCGGTGTTGATCTTCAGACCGTGTAGTTCAAGCTGTTCTTTGTGATGAATACTTGCAATATTTGCAACATTTACAATATTATAAAGTGGCAAAGAGCGAAACAACGACATTGGCTGACTGATAGTGGATTTAGCTGCCATTTACTGTGTATATGGGGGGGAGGGGGTAGCAAGTTGCCTAATCGCCTAATGTAAGTCATCAAACTTAGCCTTTCACTGCCTTACTCCATAACTGCAAGTCAATCTGCTATTATCCCAAAATGATACTTGCGGTGCAAAAGGAAAATTTAACATGGCTGTTAATCTTAAAAAGATAAGGCACCCTAGGACAAAACTGGAAAACTTTCAGTTCATGACTCGACAAAATGAAGTGATGACTTGAAAACAAACAGATGTGGGAATAGCATGCAAAGCAAGGCTAATGCTCTAACTGTTTAATCGCTTTTCCTATCCTCTTGCCCTAACCGGGTGCCCATAA